TTATTGACTTATTATCTCAAAATATAAAAAGTTTCAGTAACTTTCTCATTATTTTGTGAATATTTTGAGAGTTTCTCATTATAAAGACTCACAGAATCATTTTTTAAGCTTCATATTTTTTAAAATAAGCCTCGCTAGAATGTTTAAAAGCAAAGCATGTGTTTAGTAACTTCTGTATTTAATGTCTTTTATGTAGTTTTCCCACCAATTTCTATTCAATTATGTTTGTGTACTTTAATTATTTGTTTATTATGACCCAGTGTGACAAGTTTTTTTTAAATGTTTTTTTATTATCATTTTATTATGCATTGATTATGGATCGGGATGCACCAGTACCATTTGGGTCCTCCCCAGTACTGAGTACTGATATCAGAACAGTTCTAACAGTGACTTTGATAACATTAAGTTTCTCTATCACAAAACACAAAGAAAACAGCTTTTTAATATCCTAAAGAAAGAAAAGAAAAGCAGACTTCTAAAGTGTCTTTTTAAACATATTTTATTTCATTTAAATACTTAAAAGTATACGTTAATCAGTGTATTGTTTTGGTCGGTAAAAGTAGCAAAATAAAGACACAACACACAACTTTAGTGTAAAACAATGAACATTAAAATGATTAAGTATACATTCAGAAAATAAAAGGTAGAATTACCTGTTGATGTCACAAACCCTGAGTTGTTTGTATTTATTCAATGTGATTGTTTGTCTGTTTGCCCTTTTATTATATATATTTATATAAATATTATATATTTAAACATACAAGCGTCTCTACAGCTCTGCTTTAGGCACAGTGGGGATTTGTCAGTATCAGTATGCTAACATGCTTAGCTTGTATAATGTTTAACATGTTCACATCTTGGTTTAGTGAGTTAGGAAGTACAGCTCAGGTTAAAGGTTAACGAAGGCACTGGACACATTCAAATGTTGACCTGACGATAGATTAAAGTCAGTTCATCCTGATGTTCATGTTCCTAAAGGGAGAGTCACCAAATTCAGTCGGACTCGTTGTCTGGGGAAAATGAACTTTGGTATAAACTTTCACCTCAATCCGTCCGACTAACCTTCATAAGCCCCGCCCCTTTTTGCCCTGTGCTCCAATCACAGTTGAGCTTTGTGTAACCATCTTCAAACTGTGGTCGTCTTTTCAACATAGATTAGCTTAGCATAGCATATCCAAGTACAGGAAAGGAGGAAGTTGATTGAGGCTTGTTCAACTCGAGCACAGGTCAATATCGTGGCAAACCAACACCAAATCATTATTTCAAGACCATAAAAAAGAATCAAACTTCACATTGTGACGACGTCTTCTGGGTCCGGGGTCACGTGTTGATGGCTGGTTTCTGAAAGCCGTCACCACAGCTGTGTTTCTTGAGCTGCCTGGAGTCGGAGAAGCCCCGACTGCAGCGCCCGCAGGAGTACAACTTCACCCCGGTGTGGATCTGCATGTGCGACTTCAGCTGGTTGGACTGGCTGAACTTGCTGCTGCAGACCTGGCACTCGTACGGCCGCTCTCCTCTGTGGAGTTTGGCGTGTCGGTAGAAGTTGTTGCGCGTCCTGAAAGCTTTGCCGCACTGTTCGCACGTGTACCTTTTCTCTCCGGTGTGCAGAGTCATGTGGTCCTTCAGACGGCTCAGCTGCGGGAACCTCTTCCCGCACACGCCGCAGCTGTTGAGCCTCTCCTCGCCGTGCCGCCGCATGTGGTAGACGAACGTACATTTACGGTGGAAAGACTTCCCGCAGGTGGCGCAGATGAATTTGTTTTCCTCTGTGTGGATTCCTTCGTGAACTCTCAAGGCGTCGGCGCTAGAAAACGCTTTCTGACAGACGGCACAGCGGAAGGATTCGAGGTTTGTCTGCGCCACCTCTCGGCCCTGGTGCGCCACCTGTTGGTGCTCCAGCAGCTTCGAGTTGTAGAAAAACGTCTTCCCGCAGAGGTCACACATAAACGGTTTCTCGGCACCGTGAACGAGCATGTGGGTCTTGAACGCACACGTTCCCGAGAACTCCTCCCCACACTCCTCGCACCTGAACGGCTTCTCACCCGTGTGCACGCGGAGGTGTCTCCGGAGGTTGTTCTTCAGACCGAATCCGATCCCGCAGGTCTGGCAGGCGAAGGGTTTTTCCCCCGTGTGGACGATCTGGTGCTGCGCCAACGCTCGCTTCAGCTTGAACGTCTTACTGCAGTCGGAGCATTCGAACGGCCGCTCTTCTGAGTGCACCTTCTTGTGAGAGAACAGGTGAGCAGAAGTCCTGAAACTCTTTCCGCAGGAGGCGCAGGTGAAGGGTTTTTCTCCGGTGTGAATGGACTGGTGCTCCTGCAGGACGCTCTTGGCGGTGAATCCTTTCCCGCAGGTGTCGCAGACGAACGGGCGGACTCCAGAGTGGACGGCCTGGTGTCGTTTCAGCAGATGCATCTTACCAAACGACTTCTCGCAAACGGAGCACTTGAAGATCTTCTGCTCTTCGTGGTGCAACAGGTGAGCTTCCAGTTTCTTCTGGAGTCTGAACTGTTTGTCACACCGGCTACAAGGCCACATTTTCTGACTCTTCTCTCTGGCTAGTTTTACTTTGTGGGCCTGGAGGTGAGTTTGGAAGCTCTTCTCCTTGTGGAAGCGTTTGTCGCACTGATCGCAGGCGAACGGTTGGTCGTGACGCCTCATGTGCTGCTTCAGCTGATGTCGGTAGTGGAAGCCTTTGTTGCATTTGTCACAAAAGACTCGCTTCTGTTGATGCTTCTCCTTTTTCCTCTTGTTTGTCTCCTGGTTGTTGCCCTTCCCAAAGCCTGAGGGTGAGAAAAAAGAGCAACATTAGCTTTTTATGTTGTCAGGTTGAGTCAAGTGGTCAGATCACACTTTCTGTCTTTAATCTGGAGTCACACACACACACAAGATCTTTGACAACCTGGTCTCCAAACTACATTTCATCAGGAGTCATTAGGAAAGTAATTTAAAAATCAGCTGATAATGATCCTGATCAGCCAGCCTCAGTAATTTATACTCCCATTAATAAAGCATTAATCAAACTAATACTGTCAGACAACCTGATCAGCCTTTATCAGTCAGCTCGTGTTTCTGTAGTGGAGACTAAACGTTAACAATGATCCATATCAGCAGTTTGAATCCAACTAAAAGCTCCCTGCACCAAACTCCCTTTAAGAAATCAAATAATCACCATTTTATAAACGAAATTCCCCTAACGTGTTCGTAACAACACGTAACCTAGAAACACGGAGCTAAAGGCCGTCATATGTCCCACAGTTCTGACTGTCCAATACCAGGATCAATATCATCCATAAAGATACAGTCGTATACTGATCAATATCAATCCATAAACATACAGTGTATCACTGATCAATAATCCATAAAGATAACAGTGTATTCTGATCAATATTCATCCATAAAGATACAGTGTATAACTGATCAAATATCATCCATAAAGATAGAGGTGTATACTGATCAATATCAAAGTCCATTAAGATACAGTGCTATACTGATCAATACTTCCATCCATACAACCAAGATACAGGCTGTAAGTTCTGATCCAAAGTTCTGAATCACCCTGGCTGATTTTCTCGCAACATCTTCCGGCTTCGTCCCTTACTGGAGTTTCGTCATCCGTTTACTGTAAAAAAACCCGAGATTTTTTATTTAAGCAAAATCGCCCAAAAGTTTCAACGTTAGCGCGATCTGGCAATCCTGTGTCACTCCCCACTGAAAGTTAATACCAAGTGTCCGAGGTCCGACTGAGTCGGCCTGCAGCTCGCATCCCGCCGGCCCTCCCCGGGGGCCGTCTGGAAGATTTCCGACTGTTCGCTGGTTGCACGGACTGGCAGGGGTTTTCCTGGGAAATCTGCGTGACGGTCGGGAGAGCGGCTTGACCGTCCACCCCACGCCGGAGGCGGCCGAGAGCTGAGCGGAGGGTCAGACCCTGTGGCCGGGAGCGCGCGGGCGGTCCGCCATGGAAAGCAGAAAGTTAAACTTTAATTAGACTTAAACTCTAAATAGTTTAAAGTTTCTGTAACAGTAACAAACCCTGAATATCTGCTGGTGAAACGCTTTAGCTTATTACGACAATTTTAAAGGAATTTATATCAGATAAAGTTTGTTTTTTAAATAAAGTAGTAATATTCAATAAGATATAATAATAAAGATATATTATAAAGATATAATTAAAGATATCTTAAGTGAAAAGAATATTATATAATAAGATTATATCTAATAAAGATATAATAAATAAAGATATACTTAATAAAGTATAAAATAAAATATATTAATAAGATATAATAATAAAGATATATTATAAGAGATATAATAATAAAAGATATAATAATAATAAAGATATATTAATAAAGGATATAATAATAAGATATAATAATAAAGATAATAATAAAAAATAAAGATATATATAATAATAAAAGATATGTTAATAAAGATATAATATAAGATATATTAATAAAGATATAATATATAAAGATATATAAATTAATAAAGGATTAAATAATAAGAGATT